AATAACTGATGATTTATTTAATAAAGGAGTTCTTGGAAAAGTTATTGCTCATGTACATGTAATTGAGTTTCAAAAAAAAGGTTGCCATATGCACATATATTAATGATAATAGCACCTGAAGATAAACTACAAACTCCAGAAGACTTTGATTAAATAGTATCTGCTAAGATTTCAGATAAGGATAAACAACCAAAATTATATAAAACAATTAGCAAAAATATGATTCATGAACCCTGTAGAAGTATAAATCCATCATCTCCATGTATGGTTGATGAAAAATGTAGTAAATATTTTCCAAGAGATTTTGCTACTACAACTACAACCAATAAAAATAGATATCCTACTTATAGAAGAAGAAATAATAAAAGAATAATTAAGAAAAAAAGGGTATCAATAAATATTGACAATATATGGATTGTTCCTTATAATCCATATTTAAGTCAAAAATATGATTGTCATATCAATGTAGAGATATGTTCAAGCATTAAATCAGTTAAATATCTCTACAAATACATATATAAAGGAGAAGATAGGGTCTTAATTTATTAGTAAATTCAAAAAATAAAATTAAAAAATTTGTAAGTGCAAGATATGTTTCTGATTTGAAGGAATTTGGAGATTATTTAATTTTGGTTTACAATAAAGATCTTATATAGTTGTTAGACTTCCAGTTCACTTGGATGGTCAACAAAATATTTATTTTGATAAAGAGAGTGATATACCATCTACTCTTGAAAAAGGTCAACATACAAAGTTGACAAGATATTTTGATCTTTGTAAAAATAATCCTGATTATGAAAAGATTCAGAATTTAAGATATATAGATATGCCAAACATTATATTTAGAAAAATAATAATTGGTATGAAAGAAAAAGAGGTGGTGATAAAGTAATTTCTCGAATACATTTTGTTAATTCAAAAGATCAAGAGTGATTTTACTTAAGAGCTTTATTAAATTTAACATATTGTGCTACAGGATTTGAAGATATAAGGACAATAGAAGGAGTAAGATATAAAACTTTTAAAGAAGCAGCAGCTCAAATTAGATTAGCAGATGATGATGATGAATGTGATAAATATTTAAAAGAAGCAGTTACACATAAAATACCTATTCAATTAAAACAATTATTTGCCTCAATAATAATATACTATCAACCTGCAAATCTAAAAGAACTTTGAAAAAAATATATTGATGATTTAATTGATGATTTTATATTCAAAGGAGATAGCAAAGATTTAGCAATTGCAAAAACATTGATGTTTCTTGAAAATTATTTAATACAAAATAGATTAAGGCTTTCTAATTATTTAAATGAACTTTCAGAATTAAATTATGATTTATTTGATGAAGATCAACAAAATACATTAATTGTTAATGAACAAAATTATAATCAAGATAATATTAAAAAAATATTAAATAATCTTGATAAATTAAATATTGATCAAAAAAATATATTTAATACAGTTATAGATGCAATCAATAGAATTTCTAATAAAAAATTAATTTTTGTTAATGGACCTGGAGGAACTGAAAAAACATTTTTATATAATATAATCTTAGCTCATATAAGATCAACAAGTGGTCTAAATAGAATTGCAATTGCTGTAACATCATCAGGAATTGCTGCATTATTAATGAGTGGTG